GTCCTTGTTGGAGACGTCATTGATATTGAGTCGAATAGCGGAGCCGTTAAAAGGCAGGGCCGATCGGATACATATGCTACCGAGTTTGATTTAGAAGCAGAAGAGTATGTTCCTTTACCAAAAGGTGACGTCCATAAGAAGAAAGAAGTCGTTCAAGATGTGACACTTCACGATCTTGACGTTGCTAACGCTCGCCCACAAGGAGGACAAGACATAATGAGCATGATGGGGCAACTGCTGAAACCTAAGAAGACGGAAATCACAGACAAGCTGCGTAAAGAAATCAACAAGGTCGTTAATCGCTACATTGATCAGGGAGTGGCCGAGCTTATTCCTGGGGTATTATTCATCGATGAGGTCCACATGCTTGATATTGAGTGCTTCACATACCTGCATCGTGCCTTAGAGTCCTCGCTAGCTCCCATTGTCATATTCGCTACCAATCGTGGCAACTGTCAAGTGAAAGGTACTGATCTATCAGCTCCTCATGGCATGCCGAGGGATCTACTGGACCGCATTATGATAATACGTACATTGCCTTACTCTCAGAGCGAGACAGTTCAGATACTCCGTATCCGTTCGCAGACCGAGGGTATTCAAATTAACGACGAGTCTTTGAATATTCTCGGTGATATTGGAGTGAAGACGACACTTCGTTACGCTGTACAGCTCTTAACACCTGCTAGCATACTAGCTCGTATTAATGGGCGTGACTCCATTGCTCCAGAAGATGTGCAGGAGATTAATGAGCTGTTCTTTGATGCAAAGTCTTCGGCAAAGATGCTGGCAGAGCAAGAGGACAAGTACATGAAATAAAGTGAAGGAGAGACCTAATGGTAACTGTTCATTGCATTCACTTATGTAAATAAGTAACTTGAAACATACTGTACATGTACATGTATACATATCATAGTACTGTCTAGTCTACTCTTATTATTAATATTATGTGTAATGTACTATTATTGACATCCAAAATTAATTTATTAGTAATAATTGTTTATTTAGTTTGTGGGTGTGGTTATTGGAGGTGTGGTGTGTAGAACCCAGTTCTGTTAATTTGTAGGTACATGTATGGTGTGACGAGGTGGAGGTCTTTTAATGTTTTTACATTCTTTATTTAATTATAACTAACACATATTGCTAAAATCTAAATATAACCAACATGACAATTATAGCAGTCTGCAGTTAGTTACAGAATTTATTTCTTCTTGTCCTTTTCATTTGATTTTTTATCATCCTCAATAAACACTTTATAACCAACATATAGTGCAGTAAGTCCTACGGCAATTGCAGTTATACCTTGGGGGGTCTCTTCTTTGCCAGTGATGGCCCAATTGATTAACGATTCACAATTTGTGAACAGAAGATTATAATCTTTTTCATCAACCCTGCCACGTGCACGTTCTAAAGCTTCTTGGCCTTCATAAAGGACAACTTCAGGATCTTCATACTCCACGAGTTCAAAGTTACCTTTGTTTAGGTCAACAGTAATTTCTTC